GAGGTTGCATTTTTTTTTTTTTTTTTTTTTTTTTTTGCCAGGGCCGGCGGCATTATAGTTTTCCCATACATTTAAGGCAGAAATTATAGAAGGCGATATTTTAGGTCAGTTAGATGAACTGATAAGATGAATAACCCCCTCCTACGCAACAGTTCGCGAACGTCGTGGTTGGATATGTCACAAAATAACGTTCACACAACGTTGTAAGAACGTTCAAACGTTGTGAGGTTGTGAAATTAGGTTAGCAGGGGCGGATCCAGAAGGGTGAAGGGGGGGGGGGTGGTGCGCATACATGTCACCCCACCCCCGCCCCCGTTTTGCCACTAAATTAAAAAATTTCAAGGCATAGGCCTATATTGAAATTAGCGCTCTCACTTATCTATTTTGAATATGTTGTGCCTTCCACCGTTGAAAAAATCTGGATCCGCCCCTAATAAATAGGCCTACGTACATATGGTTCTACAAAATAAAGTTTTTATCACCAAATTGTCACGTTATTATAACGTTCCTAGAACGTAATATTGTTAGCTCGGATGGTCTTTAAAAGTAGAAGAAAAAGCACAGTTATATTGAATCTGGCTATTTGTGAATAGGCCTACAGTATATATAGGCTTGGATATAACATGTGTTGTAGAAATTGCATCCCCCTAATAGCAGTACTGATGCTGACATAAACATAATAAGTAAACATAGACCTAAACATAAATAGTAGTACTGATGTTGATATAAACGTTTATAAATACTCGCAGACAAATTACGAGTACACAGTTAACTTATAATAACACAATAAACATTTTTATGAGCGTATTTGCTGTATTATTTTGCATGATTCATTGACTGGTATTACGTTCAAGGATTTTTGTAGAACCGCCTGTAAATCAGTGAAATCCATTTTTTTTTTCAAAATTTCATCTGACTTTGATCGTTTTAAATACGGTAAGCTATTATTTAAACAGTCCGTCATGTTCTATTTTCTCTATGGTCATATCATGTGTATAGAATACCATCGGATTTGGTAAAATTAATGTTTATAATATATCTGCTTGCAATATATAAATCTATGATTATTACTTTTATTCATATTGAATATGAACGAAATGTGTGTGAGAAGTCAACATTATAACAATGTATAGAATTGTCTTAATACCTGTCCAAACAATTCTAAAACGTTTATCATCCAGAAATAATAGACTATAGCAGTATACTAGAACTGAAACAATAAGGCAACACTGAAATAATTCATAATAATTGACGATACATTTTATCTATTAAACAAAATGTCTACCAGCAGTTTAGGTCTACCTAATAACCCCTAAGTTTCATTGACCACATTCAATTTATTCTTCTTCGTCTGTGTGAAGTGTATTAGTGAGCGTACTACTAGTAACAAATTATAGTTTAAGATTGAATTTCTTGTGTGCTGCCATAGATATTAAAGTGTTGTTGTTGTTATTATTATTATTTATTATTATTAAATATTATTATTATTATTAATTATTATTATTATTATTATTATTATTATTATTATTATTATTATTACTACTATTATACATCTATTATGCAGCTCTTGAGTCTAAATTATAGCTAAACTAAAAATGAAACAAATGAAAAGATATCGACCTAATGTATTTCTGACTCATTAATATTACATTTTACAAACGTGGGAAAAAAACATTTGCAGTTCTTGATAAATGACTTGCATTGGCATGTGTATGTTATTTGAACTTGGATATGCTAAATTCATATCCCATACGTCGATAATATGTATGCCTAAACCGGAAAATATTTTAAAGAAAAATTCACGGATATCATAAAGCAATCCGTCACCAGTATATAGAAGCGAAGTACCAGTTTTGTGATTCCGAGGTTTTGGAGTTTTGACGACAAAAATTGTTTTAGGGCAACGCTCCCTTAATCTCAAAATTGTGTCCCGTAAGAGATATAGTCTTTCAATGTAATCTTGCTTCACCCATTGAGTGTAATGAGCCCAAGGACTTATAACAAGGACGTAATTACAAGTGCTGGAATTGAGGTTGTCCATGATTTCATACTCCCATCTTCCAATGCGATAAGGACAGCTTCTACGCGCTATTGTATATGGATGGAAATGAAAAGTAAGATTAAGTACATCACTATTGTGATATGTTAATTTTATATTAGGAATTTTGGTGAATTGACTTGTACTGAGGTTTAGGAGTTCTAAAAAGCCTTGACTCCACTGTCGTGTCGTAGAATCCCCCATGAAGTAGAACTGCTTTCCCTTCACGCACTGCATAATCTCCTCCTTTGACCATTGTTTTGATTTGCATTGTAGGGAAGTCCAAATATTTTTTATCCAGAATCCATCACTGAGTGGAGTTGGTAAATCTGCTGTGCATTCAGGTAACATCAGTTCATTAGCTACATCTGAAGACGACCCTGTTAAAGAATGAGTCTGCTTTAAAGTGGACAAGCCACCTTCTAAAGAATTAACATTCTTTAGAAGGTGACTACTTTTAAAGCGTAAATTTTATTAAAAAAAAAAAAACAATTTTCGGTAATATTTGCTCCTCTCTTCAGGGTTACAATTGAACCTGGTTACAATTGAACCTGGTTACAATTGGACACTTAGTTTTTCTTTTCTTTTTTTCTAATATCTATGGTTTAAAGTAGTCTAAAGAATGTTATTTCTTTTCTTTTGCCTACTTATATTATTGACGCATACGTGCATAGGATATCTTTTGATCACCAACATATTACGGTATATATA